CAAAACAAGCCATTCATATGGGAAAGCCACTGTAATCAGCTTGGGTGGGCTTGAAAGTTGGGTGGAGTGGAGCCTCAGGGAATCACCAGTGTGGGGCAGTGTGAGCCAGGTTGATGGAAGATATGGTGCCCCTAGGCTGATTCTGTGGGGAAAGGCTCATCAAAGGAACAGTGGCTTCCACTGGCACTTTTGTCTGGGAAAAAGCTGATCCCCAGCTTTTTCCCAGACAAACAATTCAGTTCCTCCCTATATATCTCTCTTGCTTTTCAAGCTACTGCCTCCATAATGGAGTTCAGGGGGTGTGAGTCCTTTAAGAGGAACCGCCTGGGACTGTAGCAGCGTCAGTCTTCCTTAGCCTCAATCCCCACTGGTTTTCACAGCCAGAAGTTATGGGGACTTCTCTTCCTGGCACTGGAACCCTGGGCTGGTGGGCCTGGTGTGGGACTGGGATCCCTCGCTCCACAGCTGAGATATCCCTCCTGACATTTATCTGCCACCTGTGGTGTGTGATGAGCCCATTCTGCATCTCTGCCTTTCCTACCAGTTTCTATGTGGCTTCTTCTTTAATTCTATAGTTGTAGGACTTCCATTCAGCTGGATTTCTGGCAGTTCTGAATGATGGTTGTTCTCTAGTTTAGTTGTAATTTTTATTGTGGTTTGATTGCATAGTTTTAGTTGTGGTTTTGGATGAGGTGAATACCTTGTTTACTTATGCCACCATCCTGGCTGTAAATAACTTCATTTTTTAAAATTCTTTTTTCTTTTTGCTGCTTTGATTGGGTATTTTCTTCAACCTTGTCTTCCAAATTGCTGATTTAATTCCTTGTTTTATCCAACCTGTTTATTCCTTCTAGTGCATTCTTTATTTCTGATTGGTTCTTTTTATGGTTTCTATGTCCATTTTTATGTTTACTCTCTCTTTGGTTAAGTTCTCATCTATTCTTTCTCTACGTTCCTTGAGTATTCATATAACCATTGTTTTGATCTAGCTTTTTTTTTTTTTTTTTTTTTGGAGATGTCTCCTGTTCTTTCCTTTGGTGCATGTTTCTTTGTCTCCCCATTTTGGCTGCCTCTTCGTGTTTGTTTCTATGTGTTAGGTAGATCCCCTATGCCTCATAGTCTTGGGAGGGTGGCCTTATGTAGTATGTGTCCTGTGGGACCTCATGGCACAATCTGCTTGATCAGCTGCACTGAGTGCTCCAGGAATGTCCTTTGTGTGGATTATGTGAGCCCTCCTATTGTAATTGAGTCTTGATTGCTATTGGCCCATTTGTGTGTGATCCTCAAGTTGGCTGACTGTGAGCATCAATCCTGACCAGTTTATGAGCTGTTGTATAGGTGCTGGCCACTCAGAGCAGTATTTGCCTCAGCAGGGTCTGGTGCCTGCCAAGATCTCTATTTAGATAAGCTGCTTGTGAAGCTAATTGGATCCTGCTCTGATATTGTCTGAAGCTGTCCACTGGGTGTGCTGGTTTGGGGGCTGATTGGGAGGGTCATCTCTGGTGCAGGTTAGTGTCAGACACTGCCTGTGACTGACCCTGGGGAAACTTGTCTGGAGCTACAAAGCGATCCAGTTTGTGGCGGCCTCTGATGGGCCTAGGTGTGCGTAAGAAGGACCAAGCTGTGCATCAAGTTTGCTTTTAGCAGCACTGTACCTGGGGCAGGTCAGCAAAGGTCCCTAGGAACCCTGAGGTCTGCCTCCACCTATCTCTGCCTGCCAGCTGCCTGTTAGGTCAGTCACTGAAAGAGCCTCTGGCAGTACTCATGTTGCATGCAATAGGTTCTCAGTGAGTCACTAAGCAAGGGTGAAAGGTATTCTCCAGAAATATATGGGTTCAATCTTGTGCCAGGGCTGGGTCTAAGGCCCAAATGTCCCAGGGTGTATACCAAGTCTAGCTGCCACCTGCTAGGTGCTCACACCCCTTTGTGGTATTGCAGGAGGGTCTCAGAGAGTCATCAAGGTGAGGCTAGCAGAGTTTATCAGGCCTAAGGAGACCACGATTTGACCTTGTGAAGGGAAGGCTTTGTACTGGTCGGGCATGTGACAGGAAAATTTCCCATCCCAGAGCCATGCAACTCAATCCCTGTCCCAGATTCTATCAGTAGCCTGATCTCAGCAGGGAGGGGCCACTTGGAGTCAAGAGAGCGGGAGGTGCCTATGAGGTTCGGGGGAAGTTGGTGTGTGTGACCCCTACCCGAAAGCCACACTACTCAGTCTGTCCTGGATTCTGCCCAGACTTCAGTAGGGTGGGGCCACTGATAGCTGGGCTTGGATGCAGGCAGGAAGGACCAACCTGTGTGCTAAGGTCAGCTTTTCAGCAAAAGCCCCCAGGCACCCCTACAAGATCTGTCTTTGCTTGCCTCCACCTGCTGGCTGTTTGTTAGGCCCAGTCACTGAAAGAGCCTCTGGCAGAGTCGGGATGCGGGCACACATGGATCTCCCATGAGGGAGAAGTGTCAGTCAGGTTCAAGGGGAAGTGGGTGGAATGGCCCCCACCTCAAAGCCACACAGCTGTCACTGACACCCGCTAAGTCTGCCCAGAACTCTACCCAATGGCCAACGCTACTGACTTCTCAGCAGGGCCTAAACTCCCCAGGGTGGGGCAAGTGGGCTTCCAGAGTGTGGAGCTATTGCTTCCCCCTGGCTGATGCCACAGGGACTAGAGTGCTCCACCCAAAACAGTTGGAATCTGTGATATGGGTGAATGACTTACCACAGGGATCCTGGCCAATGTCACCTTAGCTCCTGCCCCAGAGCCACAAACCCCTCTCCTCAGATGACTCTAGTACACTCTGCCCTCCCTCTGCCGGAGCCCTGGGTGACTGCGAACGAAATTTTATGTTGGCACTTTAAGAGGTGCCTGTGTCTCCAGTGGACTCTGTCTCTCCCTGATGGACAGAAACCCTGCTGCTTTTCACATCGGGTATTATGTGGGCATCTCTTCCTGGCTATGGTGCTCTGGACTGCGGAGCCCAGTATGGGGTTGAGACCCCACACTTCTCAGGGGGAACCACACACACACAGCTGAGATATCCCTCCAGAACCTCAACTCCTGCCCTTGGGAGCACGGCCAGCCCTTTTCACATCTCCACCCTTTCTACCAGTCTCGATGTGGCTTCTGTAAATCCTTGGTTATAGCACTTCTCTTCAGCTAGTCTTCAGTTGGTTATTCAGGATGGTTGTTCTTTAATTTAGTTGTAATTCCAGTTTGGTCTTGGGAGGTGAGTATAGCTTCCATCGACTTCACCATCTTGAAATCCATAATTCTATTTCTCCATCATGTATTAATCATTCTAGGTATTAACATAGATAAATATCAGAATCCCTTCTTCAGTTATTTAACAAAGCCTTGGCTTATCCAGATTTATTATTTACTCCTCTACGCTTACGCATTATTTTCTTTAAGAATGCCAAAGGTCATCTAATCCTTGCCAGAGACGTAACATTTCTTGAGAAAAGTAGGGAAAATTATATCATTATTTTAAAGATGCTTTAGAAAGAAAAAGGACTCAGCACTTAATCTTACATATTTCAGTAAAATGCATAGTCCCTTGTTTCATGCACCATGTTTCACTGGCAGCATTTTTGAGCATAGTAAATGGTCTGCTACCTACAAGTGTATAACAGTAAATCAAATACAACTTGTGTCACAGGTTGTATTTATTTATGTTAAAATATATGCACCAAGCCCTAGTTCATATGGATATGCAGGAAGCATATACACACACTTTATAGTTATTTAAAATAATTAAGGGGAGACCTGGCTAGTGTGCTCAGTGGTTAGAGCGTTGGCCTACCCACCAAAAGGTCGCAGGATTAGTGTCTCTCACATTGATGTTTCTCTCTCTCTCTCTCTCCCTTTACCCCTCCCCTCTCTCTTCCACACTCTCTAAAAAAAAAAAAATCAATGGGAAAAATATCCTTGGGTGAGGATTAACAACAAAATAATGATAATAATAATAATAAAGGGGAAAACCTTTATGTTAAAAGAGTGTTCTCTGAGACATTCTTTTTTTCAAAAACTGATTTTAAAGGAGGAAGGAAGGGAGAAAAGAGAAACACTGATTTGTTTCATGCATTCATTGGTTGATTATTGTATGTCCCCTGACTGGAGATCAAACCCGCAACCCTGGTGTATTGGGACGACGTGCTAACCAAATGAGCTACCTGGCCAGAGCCTCTGAGAATTCTTAGCCACACATAATACATCCTTGAATGAAACTTCAACAGAGGATTTCCAGATAGTAGTAAGGTTTCTTAATTAGTGATTAATAACATCCACAAGTCAAATGAGAGGCATTTTAGATACTTAGACATAAATTCCTTAGCCAGATTTATTGGGTAATCTAATATACCATAATTATATAAACATACCACAATTATATGAATAGATTTTTTAAAACTCTGTTGCCATTCAGAACCACACTTTCTTGCCACATTATGCTCAGGTAGTTAGTTTTCACATATGCTCTCTCAGGCTTTCCACATGGTACAGTATGCACTACGGAAGTCATATTAAAAAACAAGCCAGCCCTGACCTGGTGGCTCGGTTGGAGTGTCGTCCCATGCACCAAAAGGTTGTGGGTTTGATTTCTGGTCACGGCACATACCTAGGTTGTGGGTTTGATTCCTGGTTGCAGTGTATATGGGAGGCAACCAATTGATGAGGCTCTCTCAAATTGATGTCTATTTCTCCTCTTCCTCTCTAAAAAAAAAGTCAATGAAAACATATCCTCAGGCCCTGGTCGGTGTGACTTAGAGCACTGTCCTGTGCACTGGTAGGTTGCAGGTTCGATTCCAGGTCAGGGAACATACCTAAGTTGTGGGTTCAATCCCTGGTCTGGACATGTATGGGAAGCAACCTGTTTCACATTAATGTTTCTCTCTCTCTCTCTCTCTTCCCTTCCCCCCTCTCTAAAATCAATTTTAAAAAAATACTGTCAGGTGAGAATTTTTTTTAATGGGCCAAAAAAAAATTCATTAAACACAATTAACATAGTATATTATAAAAGTGTGCTTTATTAATAAGGAAAATTTAAATATAACCAATACTGAAAATAATGTAACTGGCACAGCCTCAGAGTTCTTTATTAAACAGGCATTTTTTTTGCTATTCCATGAATAGTTAGCAATGAGCTTATGCAACAAAATAGTGAATATAGAATACAGAATGATAAACCAGAAATGTGGGGTCCTGTGTTTTTTTTATTAACATGGCTTTTAAAATAAATCAAACAGAAAACAAGTCATGTTATCCAAAGTATTGAGCTAATTTCATAGTAGCTTCCCTGTTCTGTTAATTAAACTTTGGGACATTGAAGCACAGGCTAGGGGAGATGAATGCATAGAAAACATTGCTCTATTCATTTACCTCCCAGTCTAAAAAAAAAAAAAGAAAAAGAAAAAAAGAAAACAAGTCATCTTCATGTAGTAAGTTCTCTTCCTACAAGAAAGTTTGCAAAATTGTTAAAGTATTCTAAAATGTGGCTGAAGTTATGCTTTACAACTTCTTGTATATATATATATAAAATCTGGTTCACATTTTAAACCACATTTTCATTATACAAGTAAGACCATAAACATTCTCTAATAAGACCACACTAGCCACAGAATAATTTTACTTGTGTATATATTTCTTTAAAACATGTTTCCAAAATGGAATTGATTGGTTAAAAGTCAACTGGTTAAAATTAAACTCTCTAGACATTGGGTTCATGTAGGCTAGAAATGTAAGGCTAGATTGCTTTGGTTGAATATAATTCATCTTATGCAGCCAAAAATAAGTCTATAAATCATCGATGAAAATCTGTTCTGGTTGAGTTCATTCTGCACTAAAGCAAATGGCAAAGCCTAATGTACATTTGGCATGGGCAGAAATTCCTTTTATCTTTGCATATGATTTTGTTTCTAAAAATTTATTTCTACCATCTTGGAGGAACCCTATGGGAGCAGATGTCTGAAAGAAAGCTACTATGGATACCAAATGAAGAACAAAAATAATCTGTGGGGATGTTAAGGACCCCAAATTATTTTTGGTAACAATTTTTTTGTAGTATATGTAAGATCTTAGACTTTTAGAAGACAACAAGTAAATTAAAATAGCTTTTCAAAAAAACTTGGTGACATTAAATGTCAAAGCCAAATTTTTAAAGATAAAGAATACAGAGAATTGCAAATGAAAAAGGAAGCAGAGGGAAAAAGTGTTAATGATCTCTTACTTAAAAAAAGATTCTTCCTATTACAGTGACTCAATTGCCTGTCCTTAAAACCATTGGTTACTGACATTATGCCAAAGAAGTCAAAATGTACTTTATTGCAAAAATATAAAAGGTTTTTAAATTGCATATGATGTTTTATACCATTTCACCAGTAGGCCAAGGCCAGCATATAACTTTTCAAGCCAGGAAAACTTTAAAAGAAAAATGATTAAAATTGTACTTACTATATATATAATGAGTTGTAAAAAGAATGTGATGCCATGCTGTATAGCATGATTCATTGCCGAGTTCCCTCTTACATGGGCACAGTCACTGACATATCATTCTGAGTAAGTCAAAACAAACACAGATCACCTATGATAACATCCTTTAATTATCTTCTTAAACAGATACTTGCAGTATATTACAATCATTTGAATAAACCTTTCAGTCAGTTTTGTGGAGTAGAAAATCATTTTATCAGTATGTCGATATTTTTTATGATCTATTCTTTAGAAAGTGATGTTAAAGCCTTTTGCCTATTAAATCACTACTCTGTTTACTGATACATTGTAAATGTAAAAAAAGGAAAAAACTGGAAATCACAGAAAATGCTTGGCATCTACACAAACACATTCTCAGTGGACTAACCACTACTGTGTAATTTTGTCACTATAGGTCTTCTTGCTCCATACGTTTGCTTCATGCAGTAGGCTCAACAATATCCATGTTTGTTCCAAACAGGGCAACTAATTGCTCTTCATAGGTGGTGATGTTCCTTTTCATAATTTCCATGCAAGGTCCCAAAAGCCTTTCGAATGCTTGCACATCCATGGCTAAGAAAAGGGGAGAATAAAAGAAAAACGAATAACATTCTTTGAAAATCTACAGAATTTCTGAGTCACTTATGATATTCTGCCTATGTCAATAATGCAATTATTATTAGATAAATATACAAGAAAAAGGCGTAAAGATAAAAATGTTCCACTTGCAAAGGAAGTAGAGTCCCTGGGCAATATGATGTGTAAATGCAAGGTTGGTGGGGGGTCCCTGATCCAGGTTGAGAAAAGAATGAGGGACTGTTAAGGGCAAGGCCTTGAAATAAAAAAAAAAATTAGTGATGTCAACACCTGAGTAAATATAAAATCCTCAGAGATGGCAAGGAGTGTTTTCTGTTTCCCTCAGGGTGTACAATGCCATGTTTGGAAGACCAAATGTTACCTTTTACAATTTTTACACTCATACCATTGTCTAGTCACTTAAAAATGGCAACCAAAATAATGCTTTCGTCCACTTCTATAACTATATAAGTCACTTTACCTGCCTGTCTCATGCATTTCTAAAAACTAAATTTATAATACACACATGGAAAATATGATCAGTCTCCACCACAGAACTAACTACAAACTAGAATTCACTTTTTTTTTTTTGCCTTTCAAAAAGGTAAAAAGGTAAGGTTTACAAAAATAGAGTGAATGGCCATTCTTGCACTGCTGGCAGCATGTAAATTGGTACAAATAAAAGTGACTTGGCAATATATACCAAAAGCTACAGAAAGAAAACCCACTTCTAAAACCATTTCTAAGGGAAAATCCTATGTATGGAAAAGCAGTCTATACACATCAAAAAGGCCCTCCCTCCAAATGGAGCCAAAACCCTCAAAATATTTACCAGTGTGTGTGTAGGGCTCGGGGCGGAGGAGGGGACACGGGGCGGGACATTAAATAGTTTATAATGTGCATATTACCCTAACAGAATGTTCAGTTTGATGTAATAAAATGAGAATATGCCTAAGTTATAATGAATGAAAAGAGCAGTTTACAAAATTGTTTAAAAACAGAAAACCATGCCTGGGGCAGGACTATAAGGTGAGGCCATAGCCTGGGCGCAAGTGTCCAGCCTCAGTGACACCCCCCCTCCCCCACCTCTCCTTCAGCACAACCCACCGTCTCCACAGCAACTATCTCTGAGTAATGAAGAAAACTGGAAACTGGGATATGCAACAAATCAAATGGTCCTCGGCACAATTACAAAGATTGATCCTGTTACAGGAATGGTTATGAATCGGACTGACCTCAAAGGGTATATGGAGGAGGCAATTCTGAGGCCCCTTGATCATAAGAATCTAGATCTAGGCCCTGGCTGGGTAGCTCAGTTGGTTGGAGCATCCTCCCCATACACCAAGGTTGCAGGTTCAATCTCTGGTCAGGGCACATACAAAAATCAACTAATGAATGCATAAATAAGTGGAACAACAAACCGATGTTTCTCTCTCTCTCTCTAAAAAAAAAAAAAAAAAATCAATAAATAAAAAAAGAATTTGGATCTAGGTGTGCCATACTTTGCAGATGTTGTAAGTACAACAAAAATGAGCTGTGTATATCTGGGAAAACCTCCAGAAATCTAGTCCTGTGGGAATTCTTTATAAAGTAAAGTATATGAAACTGACAACAGTATTGTAGTCTATAAAGGGTTAATACTATAGGTTTTATTTCCATATTTGAAAAACATCTTTATCCCCTTGGATTATTAAGATGTAATCACATAATTATTGTACCTCCACATTGTGTACTGGAGTACCTGATTTATTGAAATCATTGTTAGTAAAACTTAAATTCAAATCTATTTTAAAACAAATTTGTAATATATCTTGAGGATCATTTAGAGCAGTGGTTCTCAACCTGTGGGTCGCGACCCCTTTGGCGGTTGAACGACCCTTTCACAGGGGTCGCCTAAGACCATCCTGCATATCAGATATTTACATTACTATTCATAACAGTAGCAACATTACAGTTGTGAAGTAGCAACGAAAATCATTTTATGGTTGGGTCACAACATGAGGAACTGTATTTAAAAGGCCAGAAGGTTGAGAACCACTGATTTAAAGAGTGTTTTGTACAGATTAAAAATCATGTCAGCAAAATGTTTTGGTATAGAACTGTTTGAAAGCAAAAGCAATCTCTTTTTTGTTTTTCCATTTTCTCATTTTTAGTATTCACTTATTTTCTGGCATAATATAAATGGCAGAAATGTTTGTAAGACTTAAAAAAGTTGAATCTCTTAAAAATTAAAATACGGGTGACCACAGAGTCTGGAATTTTTCCTAACTGATCTTGTTTTGTTCTGATCATTAAACTTATCTGCTTTAGTTAACAAACAAACAAAAAACAGAAAACCCATGCACATAAAAGATGAGAAGGAACTATAAAAACGTCTTAGTTTTTCCTACCTTTTCTTATATCTCAAATTTTCTTTAATGTGAATATAATTTGTTATAGAAAATAATGGGCTTTCACTCACATCACTTTTACTAATATCTCTACTCAGGGAAATTACCTGTCATTGTCTACCTTCTCTTTTATCCAAGCATAATACTTTAAAGCAGCGGTTGCCACCGGTGGTCCGTGAAGTCCAAAAGGTTGGCGACCGCTGCTTTAAAGTATGATTAATATTATACTTTAAAACCTTTAAAAAGTGACTTCTCTAAGAGGTTAATTCTGAGGATACTAGCACATCTTAAGAACATTAAAGCTAAATTTTTTCTACTAAACTGTGTATGAAGAGTGGCTAATTACTGTTGAATCATTTTTTTAAAAGAAAATGTCATCTATATTGATACTACCTGAATTATATTTTTCATTATTAAAGTAAATTATTTCTCATATTTAAAATCTCATCTTCCAGCTAAAGATGGCATTTCTGCCAAACTACTATATAACATAAGAAGGCAATTAAAAAGCAAAACAATAAGGAAAACTGTACTGTGCTTTGACAACCTAAACATTTGTTTCCCGGGACTATGGTAAGTATTCCCACAGACATTCCAACTTCCCCCACAGAGCTTAATTCACTTTATAAAAATATTGTTTTAGCCTTCTTTTTGAGGAACACAGTGCATGTTTATTTGAAAAGTCAGATATAAATTTGGTACTCAGAATTCTTATCCTATCCTATATAATAAAAGGCGAATATGCAAATTGACCAAATGGTGTAATGACCGGTCGCTATGACATGCACTGACCACCAGGGGGCAGACGCTCGACACAGGAGCTGCCCCCTGGTGGTCAGTGCGCTCCCACAGGGGGAGTGCCGCTCAGCCAAAAGCCAGGCTCATGGCTTGGCGAGTGCAGCGGTAGTGGCAGGAGCCTCTCCCACCTCCGAGGAAGCGCTAGGGATGTCTGACTGCTGGCTTGGGGACGGGCCTAAGCCATCAGTTTGACATCCCCTGAGGGCTCCTGGACTGCGAGAAGGCACAGGCTGGGCTGAGGGACCCTCCCGCCCCCCCCCCCCCGAGTGCATGAATTTTCGTGCACCAGGCCTCTCCGTCTCCTGCACACCTCCCACCAAGGACTGAGCCCACAACCCTGACTGGGAATCGAACCATGACCTGGTTCATAGGTTGATGCTCAACCAGAGTCACTCCAGCTGGGCTGTGTAAAATTATTTTTTTAAAAAATGGCTTCCACAAACTGATTTTATAATGCAATGAATGCTTCCTTTGTTATGTTGGGGACCATAAAACCTGTGGACCCAATAAAATAATCGGTACAACATGGATACATAAAATGCAGACACAACATTTCAACCAGGAGAAGCATGCTCCCTGTGGTGAGTCCTACCTAAACACTTGACAGTCCCAATGGCGTGTGCAGAGGCTGCTCGAGGTTTGTTGGTTACCAGAGCAAGTTCTCCGAAGTACTGTCCCCGAGAACACCGAGCGATTTCCACCGCACCGTTCTCTTCCACTTCCGCTTTACCCTGACAAGGTAATTAAAAGCATCAGCTTTTACTCTGTGTGTTGAAAAAACAGAAGTTAACCTTCGTCTAAACATCAAAAAGAAGACTTATTATGTTCCTAGCTAATATGTGGATTTGTTAAAACTCACCTTCCTTTTCATAGTAATTTTCACTTCTCCAGATTCTACAATGAAAAAAGAATCAGCCAAATCTCCCTAATAAAACAAAAACAGAGAATGAAAATGCAAATTTCATTGACAAAAATCCTCTCGCCTATCATAACCCTGCAGTCAGTCCAACCCCGATGTACAGATGATTTGCCTGGAAAGTGAATCCCCATGGAGGACAGGCTTTATTTATCTTCCTAAATAGAGGTTGTAATGATTTCATTTGTAAATTTATTTGAAATAATGTACTCTCTACCATCGCATTTCTGAGTCATGAAAATATGGCAAATAACGCTGGGGTAAGAATTCCACCCAAGCATCAGCCTGGATAACGGCACAGATGTTGGAAAAGGCAGCACCATTCCCAGCAGCACCTGCTCAGCCAGCAGGATTGGCAGCAGGTGCTATGCACGCTGTGTTACAAGTAGTAGCATGGTACCCCAATGTAACAAGTAGTAACATGGTACCCCAAGATAAGCCATGGACTTTCAAAGAGAATACACCCAGACTTATTTGGAAACTGTAGATATGGGTCCTGATGTTTTGACTACAGTAAGGGACCAAAGATGCCAGTTTACTGACAATCCACCTCAAGGCCTCACAAACACTGGGGGCTTTGGGGACTGGGTGAAAAATGTGAAGGGATTGAGCAAAAACAACAAACAAAAAAATAAAACCCTAAAGAAAGTGTCATTTCTAACTGCATATCCATTTTTTCTTGGTGGTGGCTTATTTTTGTTAAGTATATTTTTAATGATTTCAGGAGGAAGGAAGGGGGGGGGGGAGAGAGAGAGGAACATCAATGATGAGAGAGAATCATTGATCAGCTGCCTCCTGCACGCCCCACACTGGGGATTGAGCCCTCAACCCAGGCATGTACCCTGACCAGGAATCAAACCTTGACCTTCTGGTTGAGAGGTCGATGCTCAACCACTGAGCCACGCCAGCTGGGCTTGGTGGTGTTTTTGAATAAACTCTGCTTTGATTTCCAATGCTGCCTTCTGAATTAAATAGTATAATATAGAGGACAGTAGATACTGACTTTTCCTGAGCCTTTCAAAGTGATTTTGAAGAAATTTAGGTACTTCAAAACTCTTTAGTACTACAATTCTAGAAATACAGTATCAGATTACATCACAAAATACTGAGTCAAGATTTACTAGTATATTATATAGAATAGACATGTATGCTTATAAATGCTCAATAGACAACTAATACCTCAAAATATCTTTAATAAACTCCAAGTAAAGTGTACATTATCTCCTTTCCCTTATCTTTACATCAGGTTTTCATATGAGCTTCATGTTAACTTTCCAAGTGTTTTGAATCATAGTAGGTCTATCAACTGCCGTGTAATTTAGTTTTCAAAACATGCTCTAAGTCCATGTAAAACTGGTGAAATCGGAGTAAGGTCTATGACCAATGTCAGTTTCCTAGTTTTGAGACTGTGCTACAAGGAATGCAAGATGCACTGGGAGAAACTGGGTGAAGAACAGTGCATGGGACTTCTCTGTATTATATCTGCAACTTCCTGTGAAGCTATAATTATGTCAAAATAAAAGGTTAAAATAAAATCATTTCAAAAGTGCTCTGTATTTTTTATCAATTTATATAGCAGAACCTTAGCCCTGTTTTCTAATTTGATTCCACTTTTTCCCAACCCTTCACTGCTCTAATCTGTAAGTGTGTGGGGTGGGGGTGGGGTGGGGGGACCAGACAGAAATTGATTTACTTATTTGGCTTCTAAAACAATTATTCTTTCCTCTGTCTCACAGACTTCGAATCTTGTTTCACATATACCCAAAGAATACACACTATTTTATTTTAATCCTCACCTGAGGATATTTTTTCCATTGATTTTTAGACAGAGTAGAAGGAAGGGACGAGGGTGAGAGAGCGGGTAGAGGGGGAGAGAGAGAGAGATGAGAGAGACACAGTGATTTGTTTGCCTCCCAAACAAGCCCAGATGGGCCGGGGATGGAACCTGCAACCAAGGTATGTGCCCTTTGACTGGGACTTCAGCCCATGACCCTTCAGCCCGTGGGCGATGCTCTAACCACTGAGAAAAACCAGCCAGGGCAAGAGAGAATGTTTTAGGAAAATAGTACAACATAATATCTGATAAAAATTACAGAACCTGGCCCTAGCCGGTTTGGCTCAGTGGACGGAGCGTCAGCCGGCGGACTGAAGGGTCCCGGGTTCGATTCCAGTCGAGGGCACATACCTGGATTGTGGGCTCGTCCCCCAGTGGGGGGCCTGCAGGAGGCAGCCAATCAATGATTCTCTCATCATTGATGTTTCCATCTCTCTCTCCCTCTCCCTTCCTCTCTGAAATCAATAAAAGAATTACAGAATTTATTAAAAATCTGTTTAAATCATTTGCTCAATACTCCAAAAATGTAACTAGGAATAAGGTACTATCCATGTGCTTTATTTGTGAACTTCAACTGTCTTCATAAACCCTACTTCTGAGCAGCACTATTCTCACCAAGGCATGTATTACTACTGACTCCAACTGGGATCTTAGAAAAGATTTGTGGTTAAATAGCATGTTGGCCCTTATTTAGTATCTGGAAGCCAGTACAGTATATGGTACAGTGTGTTTCCTTCTTGGTAATTTTTTCAGGGAGCAGCCTCAGGTGTCATTGTGAATTGATCATACAAAATTCTAGTATCTTCCAATGTACCTTCTGAGTCCTTATTAATCTCATGGAACACTCACTTGTTTTTTTCCTCTTATAAATGGCATCTTATTATTCTTTATATACATGTCGTGTACAAATATAAAATTATGCAGAAATCCATTTGATGATATAAGATATATTCATTAGGAGTTAATTATATAAATAAAAGTATTCAAATAGCTTAATGGCTATAAATTAAACCATTTTTTAACTGGTCATTGGTAAAAGTAATATTCATTTAATCCATCACTACATGCTAAAATTCATCAAGATATACAATGTATAAGAACCTTTTGGGATAGAACCCTAAACTATATTGCGTAAAAAGGATTATACCTGAGCAATGATTTGTTCTCCATCGTTGTATACTTTGGTGCCTATCACATCTACCACTTTCAGGCGTTCAGAAACCTACAAAGGAAAAAAGAAGGCTATTAAACAGATTAACTGGGAAATCTTATTTCAGAGGTTTAAAAATTGGTAGCCTAAAAGCCAAATAAACTGAGCAGCATGTGGGTTTGTGTGTGTTATATCAAACATTCAGCCTGCATTTTCACCTGGCAACAATAAACTTTGGGGAAATAGCAGCTGTTTCTTTAGATGGAGCACATGTTCTCCAGTTTACCAAAATCCCATCCTCGGGGCTTGGCTTTTCCTTTTTATGTTGCTTGCCTAGCTCTGAGTGCATTTGGACTTCCAACCCCTGATCTATTTTTACTTAAAGAGATGCTGCTAGAGAAGATCAGCTGCCTATTATGCATTCTGCAATGTAGCCAACATTTCTGCCAGGCATATACTGACAATACAACAAAGATACTTCCGTAGATGAGTCAGTGCTAACCACCAAGTATTTGGCCCAGATGCTGGAAGGATGATGTTGCCAGCCGCCAAGATGGGGAAGAGGGGCAGAGTAGGTTTAGGATGTGAGATCTGAGATGTCTGTTAGGTGTCCAAGAGGAAACGTTAAATATGCAATGAGATTAGTACGTCTGGCATTCTAGGGAGGGACCTTGTCCAATGATGTCAATTTTAAGACATCAACACACAGGGTTTAAAGCCAGGGGATCTGACAAGTTCACCGAGTGAATAAGAGTAGCCTGAATAAAGTAGCAAAGATGACTGAGAAGAGGAGGCCAGTGAGGACATGAGGGCTTTTTTTTGTTGTTGTTGTTATTGTTTTTTTGTAATTGCAAGGATTTATTTTTTGGTGAGGGGGAGAATTTTGTTCTATTTTTTGTTTCTTTTCCCTGGTATGTTTATAATAGACACTCATTACATGGAGTTAATATTGACAGTGTGCATTTAGATCATCTCTCCCTATAAAGGTATAATTAGTGGCTACTGCTGACATTTACATGGTTATTTTAAGTCTGCTTTTAGAAAGGGACCACATATACCTCTGCTGTAGATGCTCTCAGGAATCTATTACTTATAAACAATAAAACAAATGCAGTTATAGGTGGTAAAAGAAATACTGAGCTATACAAAAACCATAATTTAATCTTTTAATGAAAATATGGATAAATTTTTATTCAAAGAAACTTTTGTATAGAAATAAACATTCCTAAGGAAACAGAAGCTATTAAAACAAAATAAAAACATATACTTACTTCCAAAGATTTAAGGAATGGCAGTGACTCGATAAAATTTTCATACATTTTTCTCTTTTTGGCATTATTTTTTACAATTATTCTCCTGAAGGTTACCCTGTCCTAAAAGCAGAATGTAAAATGTTATTATACTTTCAATGTTACTTAAGATTTTTATTTCTTTAAGCATAAAATATAAAGCCATATAAAATGTTATTTTCAGTTTTTTAACGAAGCATCAGTTTATTCAGATTTACCACCATGTAATTAGGCTAACCCCACAAGGTGGCACTGTTGCACCATTTACAAAACTAGATACTAGCACTGTGTTCTTTTTCCCACCTCAACTTTGAGATATAATTATCTTAAAAGTATACAAAGTATTGATTTGATACACTTATACACTGACATGACCAGCACAGTAGAGTTAGTTAAAAGCCTTTATCACCTCACATAATTAACATTTCTCCTTTGTAGTAAGAACATTTAAGATTCACTTTTAGCAACTTTCAAATATATAATACAATACTGTTAACTATAATCATCACACTGTATATTAGATCCCAGAATTTATTCATCTGATAATTGGAATTTTGTAGCCTTTGACAAATATCTTCCCATTTCCTCCACCCTCAGCCCCTGGCAACCACCACTGTAATCAGTTTCTATGAGTTTGCACTAGCACTCAGTTCTTTTACCATAAATAATGCCTTACAGCATTACAAAATCAATTCAAGAAGACATGACCAGCATTTTTTTTCTTTTGTTAATCCGCACCTGAGGATATTTTTTCCATTGATTTTTACAGAGAGTAGAAGGGAGGGAAGGAAAGGGAGAAGGATAGAAACATGGATGTGAGAGAGAGACATCCCCTGGTTGCCTCCCACAGTGTCCAGACCAGGGCTGGGGATCAAACCTGCAACCCAGGTATGTGCCCTTGACCAGGAATCAAATCCACAACACTTCAGGGCAGTGGTCAACACTCTAACCATTGAGCAACACTGGCCAGCATGATCAGCATTTATGAGGTATGATTGACATATAACATGAGTTTCAGGTGTAAAACATAATGATTCAATATTTGTATATATTGCAAAATGATCACCACAATAAGCTTAGTTAATATCTGTCACTTTACATAGCTAAAACCTTTTTCTTTGTGATGAGAACTTTAACAATCTACTCCTGTAGCAACTTTCTTCTTTTATTATTTGATATATAACATTTGTAATCATTTTTTATTTTTCAATTACACTGGACAATACAATATTATATTACTTTCAGATGTACACTCCAGTGATTAGTCATTATAATCAGTGGTCACCAACCGGTGGTCCTCGGACCACTGGTGTCTGTGAAGTCTGAAAGGTTGGCGACCGCTGCATTATATAACTTACTAAGTGATCATCCCGATAAATCTGGTACCCATCTAACACCATACATAGTTACTAGAATATTATTGACTAGAATATTATATTCTCTTCGCTATACTTTACATCCCCATGACTATTCTGTAACCAATTTTCTTAATCCCTTTGCCTTTTTCACCTGTCCTTCCAGTACCCCTCCTATCTGGCAATTGTCAAAATGTTCTCTATTTATGAGTCTGTTTCTGTTCTGCTTGTTTGCTTACTTTGTTTTTTAGATTCAATTGTTGATAAATATATATTTATTGCCTTAATTGCCTTTTTATTGTTCACATTTTTTAAACATTAAAAAAGATGTTGCTTTTTTTTGAGAGAGAGAGGAAGGAAGAGGGAGAGAAACATTGATATGAGAGCATAAAATTGATTGGCTGCCTCCTACACGCCCCTTATGGGAGATAGAGCATGCAACCTGGGCATGTGCCCTGACTGGGAATCGAAGTGGCAACCTTTTGATCCACAGGATGATGCCCAACCAACTAAGACACACCAGCCAGGGCTGTTCATATATCCCCGCCCCCACCTCCTCTTGAAGAAGACCCTTTGACATTTCATGTAATACTGCTTTGGTAGTGATGAATTCCTTTAGCTTTTTCTTGTCTGGAAAGCTCTTTGTATAACCTTTGATTCTAAATGATAACTTTGGTAGGTAGAGTAGTCTTGGTTGTAGGCCCTTGTTTTTCATCACTTTGAATATTTCTTGCCAATCCCTTCTGCTCTGTAAAGTTTCATTTGAGAAATCACCTGACAGTCTTATGGGAACTCTCTTGTAGGTAGTAACTGCTTTTCTCTTCTTTTAAGATTCTCTGTCTTTAACATTTTGCATTTTAATTATGTTGTGCCTCTTTGGGTTCATCTTATTTGGGACTTTCTGTACTTCCTGGACTTGTATGTCTACTTCCTTCACGAGGTTAGGGAAGTTTTCTGTCACTATTTTTTCAAACAGATTTTCAGTTTCTTGCTCTCTCTGTTCTCCTTCCGGTACTCCCCATGACGCGAATATTGGTATGCTTGAAGTTGTCAGAGAGGTTCCTTACCCTATGTACATTTCCACGTCCCCCACCCCCCCCCAACCCGTTTTCTGTTCTGATTGTTTTTTGCCTCCTTATATTCCAAATTACTGATTTGATCCTTGGCTTCAACTACTCTACTGTTGATTACCGGTAAATTATTCTTCATTTCAGTTAGGGTATCCTTCATTTCTGACTGGTTCTTTTTTTATGGTTTGCATGTCCTCTTTTATGCTGATGAAACACTCACTAAGTTCACTGAGCATTCTTATAACCAGTGTTTTTAACTCTGCATCTAGCAGACTGCTTGTCTCTATTTTAGTTAGTTCTTTTTTTAAGGAGCTTTGTTTTCTTTCATTTGGGAGGTGTTTCTTTGTATTCTCATTTTGGCAGCTTCCTTGTGTTTGTTTCTATCCATTAGGTAGAGCTGCTACGTCTCTCAGGCTTGGTGGCCCAATGTAGTAGAAGTTCCATAGGGTCCAGTGGCATAGCTTTCCTCAATCACCCAAGCTGGGCACACAGGTGCACCCTCCTGTCCCCCATGTGGTCTGTGTATACCTTCCTGTTGTAGTTGAGCCTTGATTGCTATTGGCATGTCAATGGGAGGGATTTACCCCCAGGCTTATTGGCTGCAAGGACTGACTACGACCACTGCCCACCAACCACCATGGAGGATCAGCTGTGCGGGCGCCTACCTCACAGAGCAGGGCTTAATCCAGTGGGGTTCTGGTGCCTGCTGAGTCTGCCCCTTGAGTGTGCCACTTGTAGAGGTGGTTGGGTGGTGCTCTGATGTCCTGTGGGTACACTGGCTCTGGGGCCTCCAGGGAAGTGCAGGCCAAGGTCAGCCACTGCCTATGTTCTGCCCACAGATTACAATACAGTCAAACCTTGTTTCTCGAACATCTCCCACCTAGAACAATTTGGTTCTCGACTAAGAGGTTTGCAAAAATGTCTTGGTCGTCGACCAAACCTTAACAGTTTTCGACCTGACAACCCTTTCATGCTGATACCTCAGCATCACAAAAAGCATCTCTCGGGCAATAAAGGAGAGATGCTTTTGTTGCTGGCGAAATCAATGGTTAGCACAATTTTAAAACATAATGCTCCTAAGGGTGTGAAAGTGCTCACAAAACAACAATCACAGGCAACTGAATAGGTAGAAAATGTGTTGTTTGGATAAATGAAGAGCAGTTAACCAGTAACAGCATTTCGGAGGCAGTGATATATTAAAATTTTAAGGCTAGCAGGGATGGTTCTGTATACTTGAGAAGTTTTAATTGTAGATTAAACAGTACATTAGACATGTGTTGCATATAAGAAAGGTTAAAACAGAAAATCATTTGGGGGTCTGGAATGGATTATTTCAATTTATATTATTTCTCTAATGGGAAAGAATGATTCGGTTTTCAAACAATTCGTCTCTCGAACAGTTTGAGAAGTGAGGTTCCATTGTCCTCACACAGAAAGCTATGCCAAGAAATAGCACTGAAGGCTTTGGTTGTTTGTTTATTGCGTGGCTGGCTGGTTAAAAGGGAATAAAAGAGGACCATTTTGGATCTGAGTGTCTTTTCCCAGGACGAGTACATTCAGCACCTGACTTGACTGGGGAAAACGACATGAAGATTTCACTCAGCCCGGTCTTAGTGCCCCACCTTTCAGCATCCAGTCGGTGCTTAGTAAAATCCCCTGGTGCCTGGTGATCCAAATAAACCCACCTATTAGAAACAAAATACTGCCTCTACCTGGCTGTTGTCATAATGCTTTTTACAAATAACACTGAGCTCAAAGAAATATGTCACTCACCAAACCCCACAGAGCACCAGGAGAGGTAGCAGTGATTGTAGCTGCTCTGGGTGTGTTGTACATTAAGGCCAGTTCTCCAAAGCTCCCACGATTATCATAGTTACCAACACATCTTCCAACACCATCACATTTCACATAAATATCGAATGTTCCTCTGTCAGACACAGGGAAAATAAGAGGCAAAAGTAATACAGGTAAAACCTCATTCCAATAAAACCCGATGTGAGAGAAAAGCCCTGTGTGTGCAATAAAATCTCATTCCCAGCCTGCCTTTCCCCTCTGATGACAATAAGCAATAAAAGGGCATTAACATATGCCAGGGACACCAACTGGTCCAGACAAGCATGAAGGAACCATCAACTAGACAAGGGTGAGGACCATACTTGTGCCTGCTGGGGATAATGAGGCAAAACAATACACATGTGAGGTAATAAAAAAATGCTAAAAATATAACTAAGAGCAACCAAGCAGTATATGCAAAGACTGCTATCTGAGAGAATGTATATGAAAATGCTGACTACAGTTATCTGTAAACATGGGAACAGTGAAAGATTCCAGGGACATTAACTCTCTAATTAAAAAGTTTCTGTTTCTAAAATGAACATGTATTACTTTTGAGATCAGAAGAAAGTAACTATATATGTGTATGTATATATATAAAATAGTTCTAACAACTTGGTCAATCACTACTGTACAGTACTTGTGAAGGTCCTCTATCATCTAGGAAGGGCTGGCGAACTGTGGCCCACACACTGGCTGCCTGCTCTCGCAGATAGTTTTACTGGACACAAACACATGGGTTCATGCATAACCGACAGCTGATCTGGGCTGTGGCAGCAGAGTTGAGTAGCTGCAACAGAGGCCACATGGCCCACAAAGCCTAACAAACTTACATCATCTGGCCCTTTCCTTTACATCAAACCCTAAACTAAGAAAAAGCATAAGACATGGCAGAAATTCAGACTAAATATCTGATCCTGGTAATTTTATAGTTTCTCTGTGCTTATCTTTTAGTTGGAGTTCTTTTGCTAGGCAAATAAGCCTCATTTTGCATGCTACAGAACTACATACATCCAGATCTTATATTTATGTGAACTACACTCTTCTGTGGAGGGCTGTCTTTCCCTGTCCTGCAGGGTATCAGAGAACAAGGCTTCAAGGCTTGCTAAAGCACCTGTGATGGCAAACGGCTCTTTGGCTTTATCTTATTAGTTAAAGCCTAACACAGACGCAAAAGGGAGTGCTTTTATTAAAAAATGGATTAGGAATGGTAAAAATACAATACAAACAAAAACGTAAAAAAATAGAGAAAGATATTAATGAATAAGGAAGGGAATACTGACTTTTAATACAATTCACAGACAGAATGGCTGTTTCAAGGATACCATCTAGAATTTTTTCATGAATAATTATTTTTCATGTCTAGATTGACCCTTCTATTTCAGACTATTTACACTTTTGCACTAAAACTGTTCTCTACATTTTCTACTTTGAATAAGGTAAAATATACAATAAACGTGCTGATGAGAAAGTAAGCAATAGTCCAGTTGAAATCACGAATCTAACATCTGTTAAAATACTGTGTGCTGCTTTTTTATATAGATCCCTTCCCCGATAACGTGAGGCCTCAGGCATGGAAAGAACACAGAGAGCTGGCGGCGGGGTTGGCTCTACACCCATCATCTGGGCGATCTTAACCTACTCACGTCACTCCTGTGTGCCTGGGAGTTGTCACCTGCCCAGTGGGTGACTAGGAGCTACCGGAAAAGGATGTGCTACAGACAAACTAAGGGAATTATTATAGTCAAACCACCTACTAAGAGAAGATGAATCCTGTACTGTACGTGGGGTTCTAATATGCCCCTACAATTAAATACAAGTAAACAGTTGAATACATTTCTGAGGTGTTTCATTGATGAAAGCCATTAATGATACCAAAACGATGACTTTAACTTACATCTGAGACAAGTGGTTCTGTTCTGTTCTGTTCTGTTCTAAAATCAGACTCCACCGCAGCTCTAGCTACGACTCCCTGAGGTCACGGGAGCATGTGGGATGAGGGAATGGAGGCACCAGTGAAAACCCTTGATTCAGAGAGCAGGCACTGCTGAGTTACGAAAGGCAGCACCCAGAGTCAAGATCAAGGAATGAGGACTAAGCAGACAGCTGGCGAATAATTTTCCGCAAGGCTTCTGGGTTGAACACAGTTGTACCCAGAGAAGCAAACGTGATCCAATAAATCAGGCTGGAGACGATCTGTGTCCCACACAAAGCGAGAAGGGCTGGGGATACCAACTGTCTCATGAATACGTCATCATCGCTTTACAAAAGTGAAGAAATACAGACTCCATTCAGACTGCTCTCTATTATGTTCTAGAACTCTTACCTAATTACCCCTAAAAGCATCCAGAGCGGGGTTACAGTGCCTGTTAGGTAGTAATCAGAGTAAAGAGGCAAAAGCAACTATGTATTAATTTGCTATCATTATAACAATTGAAATTTTACAGGAAAGGTTCGTTACATTTCAGCAGGGAAGTTATGCAAAACTTACCTATCGATGACGTAAAAGTTGTCACCATCATCACCTTGATCAATTACGTGTTCCCCTTCTTTGACCAATTTTTCAAACATGGCATCTAATACTTGAGACATCTGCTCCTATTTTTAAAAAAAGAAAAGATATAATCTTTATGTTTATCTAGAACATGTTTTCCTAAGTAATCATAATTAGTTTTATATTTCTGTGAATAAGTGCAAAGAATTGGAAATATCACCATTGCTATTAAGTCATGTCAAAAAAGAAACAACAGTCTTTCTGACCACATACAAAGATGATTAAATGTTTACTCTCATATTCAATATCTAAATGAAAGTAATTATAATTAGTCTATTTCAGGATATTTGCAATTATCACCACTTTAACATGAAAAATCAACCACCAAACCACATAAACTTTGTGAAATACAATCTTAGCAACTAAAATGACCAGGTTAAGCAAAGAACTATTGCAAATATCTTAGGGGGGCGGGGGAGGGATACAAGTGGAAAACACAGACTGAAGAAACAAGATGCTCTGGATGAAAAACACGAACAGACCACATGTGACTCTTCCTTTTGAACATTTCACAGGCAACATGAAGGTATGAATACACACAGTATAGAGTATGGGAAGGGGAAATTGATGGAGGTGAGATTTCTATAGCACAGGTGAGCTAAATGGTAGGTGGCAGAGAGAGGGTACAGCCCAAAGTAGGGTAGATGGGCCTGCAGCGTGAAGGGGTCAACCAACTGTCAGGGCACCATCAGGCTGGAAAACACCTGGCTCGGTCAGGAGGGACTGATTCACCAACACCTAATTTCCCTTTTCTGTTTGTTTTGTTAATCCTCATCCGAGAATATTTTTCCATTGATTTTTTCCTCCCATTGATTTTTAGAGAGAGTGGAAGGGAGGGGGAGAGACACAGAGAGAGAAACATCAATGTGAGAGAGACACACTGAATGGTTGCCTCCTGCACGCATCCCGACCAGGGGGGGATCAGGTCAACGCTCTATCCACTGAGCCAAACCAGCTAGGTTTCCTTTTTGTTGTTGTTTGTTATAGCCATTTATATGGGTAAACTGGTTTTGATTTGCATTTCCCTAACGACTAACCATGTTGAAATTTTTTCATGTGCTTATTGGTCATTTGTATATATATTCTTTGGAGAAATATCTATGCCTATATTTTGCCCATTTTTGAGTTGAGTTGCTTCTCTTTTTGTTGCTGAATTGTCAGAGTTCTTTATATATTCTGGATACCAAGTCCTTATCATACATATGATTTGCAAATATTTTCTCCCATTATGTAAGTTGTCTTTTCACTTTTTAAAAAATAATGTTCTTGGATGCACAATTTTTTTTTATTATGAAATCCAATTTATCTTTTTTTCTTTTCTTACTCCTGTTTTTTTGGCATCTAAGAATCCACTGCTAGACCCAAAGTCATGAAGAAAACCTCTGTGTTCTTGTCTAAGAGTTTCATAGTTTTAGAGTTTACATTTAGGTCTTTGATCCACTTTGAGTTAATTTTTATATATGGAATGAAGTAGGAGTAAAGCTTTGTTCTTTTATGTGTAGATATTCATTTGTTGAAGAGACTACTCTTTCATTATTGAATGGTCTTCAAATTCTTGTTGAAATCAAATAGCCATAGATGTATAAGTTTATTTCTAGACTCTCCATTATCCCATTGTTCTATATGTCTATCTCTATGCCAGTAACACATTGTTTTTTTTAAATATATTTTTACTGATTTCAGAGAGGATGGAGAGGGAGAGAGAGAGATAGAAACATCAATGATGAGAGAGAACCATTGATAGGCTATCTCCTGCACGCCCCCTACTGAGGATCGGGCCCACAACCGGGGCATGTGCCCTTGTTTGGAATCGAACCTGGGACCCTTCAGTCCGCAGGCTGATGCTCTATCCATTGAGCCAAACCAACTAGGGCAGTAGTAACACATGTTTTGATTACTGTAGCTTTGTAATAAAAGTTTTGAAACTGGCAAGTGTATCTTCTAACTTGTTCTTTTTCAATATTATTTTGCTATTGAGGCTCCCTTATTATATATACAATTTTAATACATTAAGACAACAAAATGTTAATGTTTTCATGATTTAGCTTCATAATACATCTTACCAATTTTAGCTTTTACAAATAAATTAATGCTAATAAAAATATTTTTTAAAAAAGATTATGGGATCTCTATAAATACAGACATATTACTAAGTAAGAAAAAAAAAGATCTGGGCAGAACACTGTGAAGAATTTGCTGCCACCAATATTTTAAAAAGGTTATACTTACATACACGTAGCACAGCCCTGGAAAAATGCACATGATAAAGCTAAGAGAACTTGGCTCCTGAGAAAGTGGGCTGCTGGGCGACAGGGATGACACGGATATTTCCTTTCACTGACTGCTCTTTTGTTGTTTTAGAATTTTTACTCCTTTGTTCTTTTTGAATTTCTGTAAATTGTATATATATACTGCTAGACCCAAGGTCATGAAGATTGACTTAAATATAACATTTTAAATTCCTTAAAAAACCCAATTCTCCATTTTAACAGAGAACATAACATTGCATCTTCATGTGAGCTAAGAAAAACTGCTGGGAGGACAACGGCGATGGGTAAGGGAAGTGGTTTTCTCGCCTGCCCTGGGTCTCTGTGTGAACTCTGGCACCTCTTCATGAAACAGCAGCCAGGGCTGAAGAGGAGGCCAAGGAGGCAGTAAAACGGTGCTTTCTTAATGTGGTGCTAATTGACCCCACAGGGGCCATTTTACCCAAATGCGTTCACCAGCCAGGCAACATATGGTCACCTATCAAAATTATAACGTTTGATTAAGTGGTTTACTAATATTTTGTTTCCCTTACTGTTTATATGTCAACTCTTTTAGGGCAGATGGAGGGGTAATATTACTTTTATTGATCAGCTCTGGCTGTAAATGTCAAATGGAGACACAGCTGAAAAACACGGCTATACAAAGTATTTTTGCTATCTTTGAATTAGCTGCATTTTAAAACATAAAGCTTAAGAATGCATATAAGGATATATAAAAAAGTCATTCCTGAAAAAATACAGCACAATTAATTCTTCCAGAACTTCTCTATGTGACAGGTGTCTGTTCTAGTCAATCAAAATGTAATTTCCCCATAATTATGCACAGACTGGGAAGAACTTAGGAAATAGTTAATATGCAGAGGCTTATCACAATGACTGACAACTACTGTAGGCAATCCACATATTATTCTCCGACAGAATGCAGTTTCAAGGCTGAGATCAGTAAAAGGGCTCCGACTCACTTAAAAGTAACAATTTAGCGCGGCTGGTATGGCTCAGTGGTTGAGCATCGACCTATGAACCAGGAGGTCACAGTTCAATTCCCTGTCAGGGCACATGCCTGGGTTGCGGGCTCGATCCTAGTGTGGGGCGTGCAGGAGGCAGCCGATCAATGGTTCTCTCTCATCATTTATGTTTCTATCTCTCTTTCCCTCTCCCTTCCTCTCTGATATTAATAAAAATATATTTTTAACAAATAACAATTTACTCTCCATTAATGAAAGAGATTATCCTATAGCTTAGGAAAATTATTTCAGTTTGCCTCATATTAAAAATATTTCAGAAGAAAAATGGCCTACTGAGTTGAGCATTAAAATATTCATGAAAAGAATATCTTCAAAGAGACTAATAATTATAAATGCTGTGCTTAGCGTATGAATATAAAGCACTCCAAGGAAGAATGTTCTGAGGCCTAGGAGTTGCAAGATTTTCAGGATAAACAATGACTTCAGGAAATTCAAATGAGAGAGCAGACACGAAGCCAAGATTGTTCTTCTTGCTAGTCAGTCATGACTGCTTCCTGTTCCTCCGGGGAGTTTTCTTCCCATCATTCCAGCTAGACACCGGGAGTCATCCCAGACTCTTCCGTCAGATGCCAATTTATTCGATCAGCAAGTACCAGCTCCTGCTAATTCTGACTATTTTGTGAAACCATCCCTTTTCCCCTTCCCTAGTTGGGCCCATTTCTTCTCCCTGGATCATAGCACTGTTTCCCCCACCGAGCTCCATTCCTTTGTCCTTGCCCTGTCACTCTCCCATCTTTAACTCAACCCTCTACGAGGCCACCACCATGACCTTAGACACATCTGATTGTCACATCCTCTGCGTGCCTGCCCACTGCGTCCAGTACGTGTCCCATGCTACAGCGAGGCATCAGGAATGGTCACACAACACACGTCTGAGCTCCCGCCTCTGGATGTCTCCCACTTGGGGCTCCAGTGCTAACACTCTGTACTTTTCTTCAACTGGCAGTCTCCTCCTCATTTCCTGAGGTGGCTCCTCCAGCCTCCTGAGTCCTCGGGTGAGGCTAAGAGACCCTCATCCTCTCGTAGTGCCCTGACCGTCGCACAGCATTTATCATGTTGTACCCCAATTGCTCTGTATGCGTATTTGAATCCCTCCTCGATTTTCGTTCCAAGAGGACAATACCACGTCTAAGTATTTCTGTGGCCTTCAACACTTTAGACAGGCCTTGGGACACAGTGGGTAGTCAAGGAATTGAATTGAAAGAAGTTGCTGCATTATAAGCAGATTATAGGCATTGAACATGTAATTCAAATAAACGCATTTGGGTTATTGTAAAAAAATGTATACCATAAAAACTAGAAAGCTACTTGAAATAAGAGCTTAACCTAAGGTCTTCAATCTGCCAAGTTTGAGGATAAGTTTCTTATTACATACAGGTGGTAATTTGCTGAGAAGAATTAACTTTTACTTATTTATATTCTGTATCTTTCCTAGAAGGGAAAGTGAGACAGTGGGGGAAATAAGTCAAAATGGTTTGAGCTCGCACTCAATAAAAGATCTCTTGGAAACAATATGTAAATAATATTTGCTTTTTACCTATAAAACATTCAATAATGATAATTCATTAATTAGTAGTTTTATAAACTAGCTTTTTCTTTGTTAAAAAATAAATATAATGAAGGCCTTTAAATATATATATTGAAGACTTTAAACAAAGTAGCAAAAAATGTCTAAAAAAATTCCCATGTTTATAAAAATAATCACTTTACAAAAATACTCAGCCACCCCGCCAGGGCTACACTAAATTCTTAAATTTTCTATCTTAATTCCATTTTTTAGTCTTCTATTATTAGATAGAATAACCAGCAACCCCATTCTTTATAGCTCCTAGTTTTGCAAGCTAAGGGATAATTTAATTAAACTGGTCAAAACTTAAAATGTGTGGTCCCAAAACAAGATCTCCAAAGTCGTAAAATGTAATCAAAGTTCCTGAAGAGCATGATATAAACATTAAATGGTATTAGAAACAAGAGCTTTTAAAAATATGTTTGTAATAAGACCCAGTGTGGACTTGGCATAATGCAGTACCTTCCTCTTTATAAAAATGGCCTTTTAAAGTAAACCTCACCATAAAAAGAGTGGGTCTAGATGTAATGCCTTCTTCTCTAGGCCATCAATCTGAAAACTAAGACATTGACAACGTTTGACCGAAAAAAAGTTGAGATAAGTCACCAAAGTTGACTCAGTGTTCACAGCTGGAACACGGCAGCAGGGGCTCTTTCCCAAATGACCGTATGGCAGTGAATTCGCATCATCTGTGATGATGGACGTGAAACAGGGCAAAATCTGAGCAGCATGCTCACTCATACTGAGAGGGGGTATTCTAGAAATATACCCCAAACCGAAGTCTAGACATTTCAAACTCCTTACAAAGAACAAAAAAATACCCCTACCTTTAAAACCAAGTAAAATGTTATTTTGAAAACATGTATAAGTTATAGATTAGAATATAGTTACTATTACCAGCGGGGCCAGGCACATCCCTGCATGTTCCAGGTGGGTGTACCAAGAATGCAAGGTCCTAACTTTTCTTCTGCTGGGCCATTTCTCAGGGCTTTGTTTATAGCTTGTAACTTTGAGGGAGGAGATAATGTCTTCCCCCAGACAAACAGCAGGTCTGCTTACTCCTTGCTCCAACAGCGTGAACCTCCCAAGCTCAACACAAGTGTTCCTCATACAACCCACTGCGTGTGCAGGCACCCACGGTGGGGCCTTTACATCGCCCGGGTGATGTTAGCTTGCACAGACAGTGAAATCCAAGACGCTGCACAGTTCTTCACACAGATACTGAAAAAACCGTTTCTATTATTGAGATTTATCTTACCGGATCCAGGTTCTTAAATAGCAGGATGTCTTTACAAGCCTCTTGCAATCGATTTCTTTGATCATCAGTTTTTGGATGTATAATCTAAAAAAAAAATTAAATAAACAATTAGTCTACTCTTCTTACTTGTGAGAATAAAATTTCCTAGTAGGATGTTAAAAGGAAGATTTATGAGTGCTGAGGTTTATTTCGGTGACTAGACACCAATCAGCCCACTAAGTAGGGGAAATAATACAATTTATCTCAGGGAAGGGTTGCACATTGATTAATACACTTGAATGTTTTTCTTTAATTTTTCAGTAACAGTTGACATTCAATATTGTATTAGTTTCAGGTGTACAATATAGTGGTTAGACATTTATATAATTTATGAAGTGATTCCCCCTCTAAGTCTAGTTCCCATCTGACACCGTAGTTATTACAATATTATTGACTATATTCTCTATGCTGTACTTTACATCTCCATGACTATTCTAAATCTACTTTGTACTTTTTAATCCCTTCACTTTTTCACCAAGTCCCCCAGCCCCTCTCCCATCTGGCAGCCATCAGTTTATTTTCTGTATCTGAGTTTTTTTCTGTTTTGTTCATTTACTTTCTTTTTTAGAGTCCACATATAAGTAATATCAATGGAATTTGTCTTTCTCTGACTTATTTCATTTAGTGTAATATCCTGTAGGTCCATCCACGTTATCACAAGTGGTGAGATTTCATTCTTTTTATGGCCGAGTAATATTCTGTTGTATAAACAGAGTGGGGCAAAAGTAGTTTAATAGTTGTTCATATGGAAAATAATATAATAAATCATAATACAGGAATAAACTCTGTTTCGCACATTCACAAATGTTAACCTACTTTTGCCCCGCCCTGCATGTACCGAGTCATCTTTATCCAATCATCTATTCACGGGCACTTAGGTTGCTTCCGTATCTTAGCTATTGTAAATAATGACACAATGAACACAGTGGTGCATATATATTTTCGAATTAGTGCTTTGGATAGCACTTGAATGTTTTTCAAAGGAGTGGTTCCCCCCAGGTTAGCAAGTTCAGACTCAGGCAGTGGTGTGTTTGGTGCCCATGCATATTTTAGAACTTACCATGGGAAATGAAAATCAGCACTTCAAGCCCATCTCAGATGGCTAAACACTAATGAAAATTATAGGCCCAATAAGAACTGAGGAAATTTACAGTGTATATGTGTATGTGTATGTGTACATATATATACATCCTATTTGTGTGTGCAAACGACTATTAGCCACTGAGAGAGGAAGTCACTGCATTTTTTCTTATAGGGATATAATATATGCAAACTTTTGTTCACTAATTAATATTCATCTCAAACCACATTCTAAGGCAGTGATGGCGAACCTATGATACACGTGTCAGAGGTGACACGCGAACTCATTTTTTTGGTTGGTTTTTCTTTGTTAAATGGCATTTAAATATATAAAATAAAATAAATATCAAAATATAAGTTGCTGTTTTACTATGGTTGCAAATATCAAAACATTTCTATATGTGACACGGCACCAGAGTTAAGTTAGGGTTTTTCAAAATGCTGACATGCCGAGCTCAAAATGGTCGCCATCACTGTTCTAAGGTGACACATAAACACAGGAAAAAAAAACCAGATTCGATGACGACTAAAGCACTGTATTCAAGAAACTTTAAAAATGTGGGCATTAACTAAATCATGCCAACCAAAATTCACTCCTCCCTACTTTAAGGAAGGTTAACTAATAACACAAAACAAAAAGTTATTTCGTGCTTCATGAAATTCATTGAGACTTTGAGCCAAAGCAATCTTATATGTTTGCCGCTGAGAAACTCTATCCTCAGAGAGAAGAAGTTGGGGATACCATGTCACCACTGTTGAACTAACTTTCTAGGTCCAACATGCTGGGTGCCATGTTGGCAAACCAAAACTTTAATAACTTTTGTGTACTTGTAAATGCTCTACTTTACCAGAAATGTGACATATCCAGTCACCAATCCCTGAAAGTTAAGCCAACTCTGGTCTCTACATCAATTTCCTTGTTCCGTGTTCATTTTCTATCTTTTCCCCCAACCCTCCTGGTGCTGTAATCGCCACAGTAAAAGAGCGAAATGGGAGTTCCTTGAAGATCTTCAGGTCACATAAGTCTCCTTATCTTGCTACCACTGGATTTTATGTATATTTCAGGAATATATGCATTACTGATGCTATGACTTCGGGATGCAGTATCTGCTTTTCTGTATTAAAACTCAATCTTACTAAAGCATTTTTGAGAGCTACAGAAATAGATTTTTGTTTATATTTTAAAAGCCAAATTAAAAAGGAGGACTTTTGTAAAGCATGTACTTAAAAAAAAAGTAAATTATTACTTCCATTTTCCAGGCAGTGTAATCTCTAATTTAGCTTACTTTTTACTAAATAAATAATAGAAAAACAAAGCTAAAGAATTTGCTTCAAACCAAAATGATCAAATTTTTACAAAAACATTAGGACCTCCAAGAAATCAGTTTCTGAGCAAACTATGACGACTCATAGACTTAAAAAGAATAACAACTGCTATACTGACACTTTAGATGTTATTTTATTCTGATTTTTTTGTTCTTGTATTATTATTTAGTAATTATTGTTTTATTTTCCTGTATTTCCTTTTTGTTGAATTTATTGGGGTAATGCTGGTTAACAAAATTATATGGGTTTCAGGTGCACAATTCCACAAGACATCATCTGTGCACTGTATTATGTGTTCATCACCAAAGGTCAAGACTCCTTCCACAGCGATAATTTATTTTTCCTAGTATTTCTAGTAAAGAAAAATACTGGGAAGAGACTTCTATTCCTGTTAATTTATAATAACAGAAGCTTATTCTGAAACAAAAAAAAACATAGTAAAGCCAAAGCAGTATACAGATGCAACACAATTGCTATCAAGATACCAATGGTGTATTTCACAGAACTAGAACAAATATTCCAAAAAATTATATAGAAACACAGGAGACCCCAAATAGCCACAGCAGTCTTGAGGAAGAAGAACAAAGTTGGAGGAATCACTATGAGAAAGTTGTATTTTTACAAAAGAAATAAAACCACAAACTGCAGTGATTTTTTTATATTCGCCTTTCCTTTAGCCAAAGAGAGTCTTTGGATAAAGTAATTCTATAGAACTTGAAGGAGAAGTAAGCTATAGAGATAAGACTAGGGCAAGAAACAGTCAAAATAATTCCATTATGTCTCCTGTTTGTTAACATCTTTCCTATTATTATTTTCCTTACCCAAATACAGAAGTAATTTAAAATTAATTTATTCAATAAATTACATACCCTGGACTCCGTATCATCCTCTTCTTCATCAGGATTATAAGCTTCTGCACATACTATAAAAAATAAAAATGGGCATTTTAAAGATTCTTTCATCAAGAAACATACTATAATAAATATCTATCTTAAAAAATTAATAAACAGGAAGAGTAGTACCATGGTGGTCTAAAAACCATGAATTCGCCTCATCCAGGGCAAGCGGTATATGCCAAACCAGTTTCCTCTTGTAATATATATGAAATGTATTATAGTAACAGAGCTACGCTTTAAGACACTGACAACTGCTTTGTTGTTGTTGTTAATCCTCACTTGAGGTTATTTTTTCCATTGATTTTTTTGAGAGTGAAAGGGAGGGAGGGAGGGAGAGAGGCGGGGAGGGAGGGATGTGAGAGAGACACATGGATTGATTGCTTCCCATATGCAGGATGGAAACTGCAACCCAGGTATGGTCCCTTGACTGGAAATTGAAGCCACGACCCTTTGGTGCATGGGGTGATGTTCTAACCACATAGCCAGACTGGCCAGGATCTGACAATTGCTTTTTGTTTTTTCTTTTCAGAGAAACATAGCTTACCCTGTTTCACTTTCATTTCCAAGCTATGGAAATGCATAAAATCTAAAAATTACCTAAATAAACAGCAAAATAAGTCTAAGTCTGCTATGAAATGATTAATTATAAAGTTAGGAGTAAATTTCACAAATTACCCATAACCCAATCTTCCAGGAGCAAATACTATAACATTTTGCATAGTCCTACCCAATCTTTATTCTGGATTGAGTTCATACTGCATATGCAATTTTAAAACCTTCTTTAATAATTTTACATGCCATTAGATACATTTTGTAAATATTGTTTTAAGGACTGCTGATTATTCATCATGAGCTATAATTAACCACTCCCCTAATGCTAGACACTTAGCTGACTTCTATTCAAACAACCTTGCAATAAATATCTTCATGCAGAAATATTTGTCTACATTTCAGATTATCCTGTAGGAATTATTCCCCAAATGTATTTTTTTGGGGGGAGGGGGTGTTGTTAAAAGATATGACAATTTTTAAGACATACTCATCAACAAATTTCTTTCCTGGGAGATTGCACCCATTCACTGTCCTACAAAGATTATATGTAAGAAGACTCCTCTAAACTGTACCACAGAGTTGGATATTGATGCTTAAAATCTTTGCAATTTAGATGAAAAAAGGTTTCAAATTTTTGAAAATGATGATTGAACTTGAATCATTTTCAAATGTTTATAAGTTGACTATATTTTCCCCTTCCTCCTTATGTATGAGAAATTTATGTATGTATTTGGTATTCTTTTTGACTTACACAACTTTAATACCACTTTGTCATATTTTTCACAAGCACTTTATCCAGTTTGCCTTTTAACTATAATTAAAGTTTTTACAGATTACACATTTATTTATTTTTAATGTACTGATATCAAGGGAGAAATTTCCCCAATATGATTTAAATTAAAATGTTAAACATCACAAAATACCACTGGTTCTGAGTTTGGAAATTCCTTTTTTATTTGCAAGTCTAAAGATTTGTTACTTCTCTTTTCTTTCAGTTTTTTTAAAAGTAGATCTCTTCACATTTACCCTTTAACCCACATGAACTTAATTCTGCCATAGATATAGAAATTTAAAGAACAGAGAATAGGCAAAAGGCTGAGAAATGTCTTTCTAAGGGCCTCAAATGGCGTCAAGAATATTATCATCATTAGTACTGCTATTACCATTATTACTCTAAAACCTGACATTAGCTTTTGTTTCTCTAGGCATTGCTCTATATATGCAGGCCAGAGTTATTCTTTTTTTAAAAATTAAATTGAAAAAATTTCCATCACCATTTATCCCCCATACCCTCTTTCACCTCCGCCCAGCACCCTGCCCCCGCCCCCCCCCTCCCCCATACCCTCTTTCACCTCCGCCCAGCACTGTTGTCCTAGTCCATGAGTTCTTTCTCTCTTTTTTCCCTCCATGGCCCCTGCCTTCCCGCTCTTGGCCCCACCACTCACCGGAGAGCTGTCAGCCCACTCTCTATCTATGAGTCTGTCTTGCGTTTGCTTGTTAGTTTAGTTTGTTCATGAGATTCCACATATGAGTGAAATCATATGGTATCTGTCTTTCTCTGACTGGCTTATTTTACTTAGCATAATGTTCGCCAGGTCCATCCATGTTATTGCAAAAGGTAAAATATTATTATTTCTTATGGACAACTAATATTCCATTGTGTAAATGTACCATAGCTGTTTTATCCACTCATCTATTAATGAACACTTGGGCTGCTTGCAAATCTTGACTATTTTAACTGACGCTGCAATGAACATAGGAGTGCATATGTTTTTTTGAATTTGTGTCTTGGGTTTCTTCATATAAATTCCCCAAAGTGGAATTGGGTCATAAGGCAGCTCCATTTTTAATTTTGTTTTGTTTTGAATCCTCACCCAAGGAGTGAGGATATTTTTTCCATTGATTTTTTAGAGAGTGAAAGGGAGGAGGGAGGGGGACAGAGAAAGAGAGGAGAGAGAAATATCAATGTGAGAGAGACACATTGATTAGTTGCCTTCCACAGAGGCCCCAACTGGGGGTGGGGATGGGACCTGCAACCCAGATAAGTACCCTTGACCAGGAATCGAACCCACAGCCATTTTTAATTTTTTGAGAAAAATCCATTCTGCTTTCCGCAGTGTCTGCACCAATTTGTATTTCCACCAACATGCACCAGGGTCTTCCTTTCTCCACATCATCGCCAACACTGTTGTTTGTTGATTAATGCTCAGCCATTGTGACAGGTGTGAGGTGATATCTCATTATGGTTTTAATTTTCATTTCTCTGATAAGTGACATTGAACATCTTTTCATGTTTACTGGCCATCTGTATATCCTCTTTGGAGAAGTGTCTATTTAGGTCCATTGCCCATTTTTTAAGTTGGATTGTTTGTATTTTTGGTGTTGAGTTTTACAAGTTCTTTATAAATTTTTGATACTAAAATTAGATGTATAAGCGAATGTTTTCCTATTCAGTGGGTTGTCTTTTCCTTTTGTTGATGGTTTCCTTTGCTGTGCAAAACTTTTTAGTTTGATGTAGTTTCATTTGTTTATTTTTCCTTTTGTTTCTCTTGCCTAAGGAGATGTATCAGAAAAAATATTGCCACAAGAAATTTCTTTCAGTCCTTTCTTGTGAAGGCTCCCATATAAATGTAAAAAAAAAATCAATTAAAATCTGTATGCTTTTCTCCTGTTAATCTTATGTCGCTTTAGTACTTAGGCCCAGCTAGGGACCCAAAGAAGGTATAGGAGAATTTTTCCTCCCCTACATTCCTAAAGCTTCTGCCTGGAAGTGATACATGTCACTTCTGCTAAGAAGAAATATATATCACACTAGTGGCCCGGTGCACGGATTTGTGCACACTGAAAGGAAATTAATTAGCAGAAATATTTTAATATCACTATTCACCCTTTCTCTATAATAGAAGTGTCAACCAAATACACAATCGACAATGACAGATCAAAACACATGCGTGCGATTGGCTCCAGCGAGAGCTTTATATGTATCACGCATGCACGAGTCAACATTTATCTTTAAATTGCCAGTGCACATCATATGTACCGGCTGGTTGGTCGGTCGGATGGTCAGTCAGTCAGTCACTTAGCCTTTTATATATAGAGATTTCATAGGACAAGTGTCATGGCCATTCCTAACTTCAAGGAGACAGGGAAGTATAATTTTACTGTGTGCTAAGAGAAGAGAAAACCAGGATATTGTGAAGAGCCCTAATGACCAAAGAGACAATCTGATGGCCCTAAACCCAAGATTTCCTCTCTCTCTCTCTCTCTCTCTCTCTCTCTCTCTCTCAGGCTTAGAAGGGGAATAGAGGAAGTACTAAAATAACCTCACAGCTTACTTAAAATACAAAGAAAAAAGTTCATTAAATTAAAAATTTAACAGAGTAAGGCTTATAAAATCAGAACAGAATCATTACAATTTCCTTAAAACTTCTTTTCAAATAACAACTGAATATTTAATGATTAACTATATAACTTAATATATTCCTGCATCAAACTATTAAATTATTATAATCCACCATGTTGCTGCATATATTTCAGCTACAAAAAAAGCAATATATATACATCCTGTACTTATCTTGCAGAAATGTTGGCAGGCTTCAATAAACAGTACTTAAGTGAATATTTAATGACCAGACCAGTATGTTTATGGCAGCAGAATTTTATTAAAAGGATTTTAGTTAAGACTGTATAACCCTATCTTGGTCAAATGATAGGAATACCTTTTCCACTTAATCTAGTTTGTTCTACTCTCCCGAGGGTTATCAATGGGGCTTTAATAATCAGCTCTTCATAAGCCACCTCTGGTTCTATAAAATTATGTTCTAAACTTCATTCAGGTAGGTTCCTAAATCATCCCAGACATATAATTACCAATCCTAAAAAATACCTATAAATTTTTTTCCTGCTGGTTTCCTTATAAAACATTCTATTGTCTCATAAGTATTTCAGATGTACTGTATTAAACAGTTCACTAAACTGCCCTGATTCATTACAGAAATCATTATTCTTGTTGTACTTTAACAAAAGAGGTATTTTCAATAAGACTGCATAATTTGCCAATTCCTTTCTGTTTTTATATTTCTAAAAACAAGTTTCTTCCGCCTGTCTACCACTCCTCTTTAAGTGACTGTATAATCAAGAACCATTCATACCTCACAAATAAACCATCATGCTCAAGATACTATTGGATCAGTATCCACAAGATACATAAATAAGCAGCAATAGAGGGCTTCAGACAAATGAGAATTTCTTCATTTGTTATTTTCCTATTATTAAAGCTACAGAAAATAAAACAATTTAATCTGTTTCAAAAAATGTGTGAATTTTTCTTCAAAACCACTTCAAAGCGGGGGGGGGGGGGGGCTGGAGCCCTAACTATGTTAGTTTTCTGTACTTGGAATCCAAATATTTAAAAACTTTAGCTATGGAGCATGTGGACTCAATCATTGCATCTATTCCCAATTCACTTTCTTTC